GAACAAAACAAAATACGAACAGCGAATGGCTTCATTAGGACATCACGGCACTAGACAAACTGACAAACTGTTACACTAAACATTACTAAGTAATGCCACTTCTGAGAGGATCTGCCGAAACTGGGATGAATAACCTATGGAGCTCCGTCTGGAAGACTATGGCACGTCTCAGTCGGGTGAATGCACTACGCGACCTAAGGCTATCGTAAAGAGGTAGAACTCTGTTATTCAGAATGTTATTTCCATTGCCTATCAATGCGGGACTGCTGACTCCGCGATGCGTTTGGCGAAGTCGTTGTTAGGAAGGTATTGGCAAGGCTCAGCTACTTTTTTGCCTATTTAAAGGGACAGGTTGAGCAGTCCTGGGTAACGGCTCGTAAAAACGGTGTAAAAGGGACACTGCGCGCAATGATAATGCATAATGCGCGCTTTTAATTATCTCATTTTCAACATGCAACATCGTCACCCTTTTAGCGTAAAATGACGCATTGCAGCATCAATTCGCCATAGTTTCAGTATGGCGGTGCCACGTTTAGTTAAATGAAGGATTAACTCCTAACTGTTTCATGTGCAGAACTTGTAGCACCTCTGACTGCGAGCGATCATGGCCCTTGGCTTCGAACATGTAACTACCAGCCATGTCTTTTAGTGTTGCGCATCATCCAGGTTTATTCTCTTGTTTCATTTGGGTTGAAAAGGTGCTAATCATTAGAAACGTCATAGCATATTTCCAGCGTATCGACTTTGTGAACATCCCTATCAGCGGACTACCGTAGGGAACTAACAACAGTACTGTCGTCTGTATACTTGATGTATTTGTGTGGATTACTAATGCGAGAGTCGTTCGTAATATGTTGCACCATAAGAGCAAAAGCCCAAACTGTTATCCATACGATTCGACTTTTTTAACCATCTTTGACAGATTGTGGACGGGAGAAGTTGGTGGTTAATTATATATATATACTGATTAATAATTTGCATTTTAGATTAAAGGTTTACAGGAGTTTTTGAACGATTCGATTCGGAAACACACCTTGCTGAAACATCTTCCGACGCTGATCAATCAAGCTATCGTATTTGATCATCGCTTGCAGCAGAGCTTGACGTCTCTATGCGATATGATGTGTCATTTGGGCTTACTTTCGCTTGGCCCGCCTTCTCCATCTACCTCTAACTCGCCAGTCGAAGTAACAGCGTTTTGTAAACGCAGCTTTTGCCTTATATATTTTTGCGTTCGTTTCTTTTTCCAAAGGTCAGACTGGCGAGCATAGTAGCCGAAGTAAAATTCGATTAGTCGATAGAGTACCGGGATCTCAGTTTAGAAAGTTGCGTCTATGTTATATATTAATACTAGTTTTTCGACAGACATTTGCTCGAGAAACATTTCGCCACTACTCTCTATCAGACACTCAGCTTGCTTTGAAAAGACCATAAGATGAGGACTGAATTTTCTGTATCGCTTGATGTACTTAGCGTAAGGTTGTCTGATAGAACACCTGTTTAACTTCATTTTCTCTGCTGTATACTGCATGCATAGAATACCCTGAGAATTCGTGATTTTCAAATGAACTGACGTTACGAATCTTTGGCAGCCCGCATTTCCCCACAGTGGCTAAGTATCAACGACAATGGTAAGACAAATAACAGGTAGATCTGTATACTGGACAGCATTATAGTACTGCACACTGTGCAGAGCATAGAGGAATACCTAAAATCAGTTTTTACAGCAGTGGGCATTGACGCTGCTCTATTTCTTGTAACTTCTCATTGCCATGTACTGTAAAATTGGTACGACAGTATGTATGCTATTTGAATTAAAGTAGGTCGAAAGTGAGAATGCCTATGGCTACCTACTGCACACTGTATCATACGTCAAACGTTATATATAGTCAAGATATTTGCTACACAAGCTACTTTTACTTTATGTGCCGTCTTTTTATATCACATAAGCACTCTGTCTTTAGCACTTCAGCATAAGGCTGAGCCTAATTTTAAGCATAAGACTAAGCTTAAGCCTACGTTTAAGCCAGATTTCAAGCTTCATTGTAACGATGAGTTTAGAGTTATTGCAGTGCCTTCTCTGTGAGCGAATGATTTTGCCAAAAGTGAGGATTAAGTTTAATTCCAAGCTTAAGCGGTGTTAAACCTACGTTTAAGCATAAGCGAAATCTAACCTAAGCATAAGCGCAGGTTTACAATCAAGCTTAATCTTATGATTATGCTTAATTTTAACCTTAGGGTGAAGCTTAATATTAACCTTTGGTTTAAGCTTAAACCTAGATCAATCTAAGCTGAATTCCTAGGTTAAGATAAAGCTTAAGCCTAAGTAAAAAATTT